TCCTTAGTCTTCGTTACCAAATTAAACACAAAGACATAAACAAGTAACATGCATTCAACAATGCAATCATATCTTATATGCTCAAAATCAAACAGTAGTCAAATAAGACAATAATACATGCATTTAAACCCTAAACTAGATATTATCATGCCTTTAAACTATAAAATAAATCAACAGAAATCAACAGAGAACAATGTCCGATTCGGGCTTCATTAGCAATCTGTTATTAATTATGCATATTTATCTAACTTGTGCAAAAGACCGTATTCTTATTTATTCAAACTTCACATTTATGATAGGAAATAGAGTGAGAGGTCCTTACTTGATTCGACGCCGAAAACTAGATGGTTACTGTGCCTATGGGCGGTTCCTGGGTTTCCTGAATTTTCCTTCAGGAACTGAAACGCACTTATGGTACCTACAAGTGTCCCAAATAAACCCAAAAATAAGACCCAAGGTCCACTAGGGCAATTTCGGAATTCCGGCATGGCGGCTCTGCCGTGCTCCGGCGACGGTGCCACCACTCGCAGCGGAGATCTGCCTCGGGTTGGCTGATTTCGGCCGAATTCAGCCGAACTTGCACCGGTTCCTGCGACAAAATACACTTAGGGCCCTCGGTGGATCGAAAAAATATAGAAAATTGAAACTCACCGGTGGTGGGGCTCTCCGATGCAGCGGCTCCTCTAGCTCACGTTGCGGTTGAGTTTTTGCTTCGGTTAACCTGTAGAGAAGGAAACGGTGGTCACAACGGTAGAAAAATCACATCGAACGGGAATCGAAAAAGTCCTCATCGGAGGCGTTTTTTGAAACATCCCGCCGCTGAGCTTCAGCGGTATTCTTCAGCCAATCGGCCGGTTCTTTCACTCAAATTTAGTCATGAGTGCGTTTAAAATTGAATTTCGTGCAAGAGGAGAAATTTTATCTCGTTTGGTGGTCGAAAATTGCTCCGGTATCGCGACGGGTGGCGGCAGTCAGCTCCCCGACGGCTGGCCTGTCTTCTCCGACGAGGGACTCTGGCGGCTAGGGTTAGGGTTTGGGTGCGGATGGGGTTATTTATACCCATTCGCTTTTGATCTGGGTCGTCCATCGCTTTTAATCTGAACCGTCCGATCGCGATTAAATAGGGAGTGAATCTGGGGTCATTCATCGCGATTCAGTCTGGGCCGTCCGTGCGCGATACAATCTGGGCCGTCCGTGCGCGATGCAATCTGGGCTGTCCATGCGCGCGGGAACGGATCTCAGCCATTTGATCGCGCGCACGCGGATCGCCCACGTGGCTTCTCCCGCGTGGCCTCCCGCGTCAGCGCCTCTGTCACCTAGCGCGTCCTGGTTGGTCGAGGCTGTTGACCAGGCAGCTGATGTGGCGTAATTTTTTTAAATTGCGTTTTGACTTCCAATTTATGATTTTCCTTTCAAAAATACTTTCAGAATCTAAATTTTCACCAATTTTCTCCAAAATTATTTTCAATTAAATTTTTAACCAATTTTTATCCTATTTATTATTATTATTTTCATTAAATTAAATTAAAATTTAATAATTTAAATTAAAATCATATAAATAATAATTATATTTATATAAAAATAATGATACTTAATTTAAAAAAAAAAAAAAGAAAAGTTGGGTGTTACAAAATCAACCATAAATCACTGTAATTAATAGCATTAGAATAATGTGTAATTTCTAATTACATTATCATGATACCACTGCATTGTCAGATTTGAATTAATATCTTGCAGTAGATTCACAGGAACAAAATTTTTAATTTATCTTCTATTTTTACATGTAAGCATAGGTTAAAATAGATTTAATAATATTAAATTTGATAAACATCAACTTACATTAAATTATCTTTTTAAAAGAGCAGCAAGTTCATTTAATTAATATGCATATACGGCTGGAATTGAATGAATTTTTTTTTTTTTGTCCCCCAGATCCAGAAATTTAGACAAAAGAATTTTTGAAAAATATACTGATCTTCAAATAATTAAGTCGCATTTTTTAATTCTTAGCTTAGCTGAATAAAAACGAAAATATGATATAAATTGGATAAAAGTTTTAAACAAAAGTAACATTTTAAATTTAATTCACTTCATACTAAATTGACTGTCTATTTACAAAGGAGGGTACAAATTAATCACTATAAACTTGAAGATATTAAGTAGAATTCATTGGAATATCAAACAATTAAGATGTAAGAAGATAAACAAATATATTATTAAAGTAATAGCAACAAAGTATTGATTTCTGATACTGAATGTATTTTTTAATTTCTAAATTATAAAAAAATGATAAAAATAAAATAAACAATAAATAAATATATTATTAGAATAGTATTAGCAACTACGGATATCTAAAACTGAATATATATCTTTTAATTCCGTAATCATATTCATCATCTTTTGGTTAAAGCTAATAAATCTAATCTACACTTGCTCATAAATTCAAAAACGTACTTGAAAGTCTCTTTATGAATTAGTAATTTTTAATTAAATATGAATTTGAGGAAAATGGTATCATATGACAATAAAGTAATATTAATTCTCTAATGATATTAGTGGATATCGCAAACTGATCATTGCCAAATATTACTCACAATATGATTGTTATTTTAAGTGGAATCATACGACCATCCCCTCCCCTCCCCTCCCCTCCCCCCCTCCCGAGGCACGATGGACTGTCACCTTGTGTATTTGCAACATGCTGCTACAGCAGGTAGCACTCAACTTCATTTCATTGTTTCCTATCACCAACAAAGTACTAAATTGAAATCCCAGAAACATTTCAGGTGAGCTGGTTCCACTCCATTCGAACAAACGTTGCCACTTTCGTCCCATCAATATTCTCCACCTTTCCCAAAAAAGCAAGAGTTTGCCACTCAAAAGTTAACACAGCTTCAATAGTTGGGTCACCATTCACAATATATAATGGCGCAACATAAAGATTTGTCTTTCTACATAAACAGGCATTATAACGTCTACCGTGGCAGGCATCTTGCCGTCACTACACTAAAAGCATCAATCTAGCTTGGCCTACTTTGAATTTCAAGTCCGAATCATGATTATATATATATATATAAAACAATAGTAATAATTATAATTGAAAATCATCATAATCAACTAGCTAAATTCTTTAATCAATCCTTTAAACTTATCTCAATTTTAGCTCAGTTCAAAGAGATTATAAGAACGTTTTTTCGTAACGAAATAGAAAAAAAAATATCATTTCTATCATAAGCCAAAAATATCCAACTTTAAATCTCTTGTATCCAGAAATAATACTCCGTGCATATAAAATGTACCAACTAAATCCTTATTCATAGCCCTTGAGTTATTTCTCCTTATCAAGAAAAGTGAAGATGTTGAATCTGTCAAAGGAAAATCTATACATCATAGAGTTTAGGTACCTTGACATGATCACAGTTGCAATGCTTTCAATTGGTGTAACAATTCTATTATCAAAAGCTTGGACAAAGATCAAAACTAGGAAAGGCGGCATTCCTGGTCGGCTTGGATTACCTTTGCTAGGTGAGACCTTTGCTTTTCTTTCAGCTACTAACAGCACAACGGGATGCTATGAATTTGTTAGACTCCGACGGCAGTGGTAAGTAATTGTTTTGTACTTAGTCAAACTTAGTAGCTTCCATCACCTACCTAATTCCGAATGTATTTAAGATCAAGTGACCATACTTTGCCTGTTTTAATTCTAGAACAATATTGGAATTCTAGAAAGAAGCTAATCAAATTAGTTGTAGAGCAAGCTTGAGTCACTTGTGCACCACAAAGGTGTCAAGCGAATCATATAAAAGTACTAAATTAATTAGCATTTTTCTTGTTTGATCTGATTAATTATGTTCTTTCAATAGAATTTGAATGCTATACCTCAGATTAATTTTGGTCACCTCACCTCCTTCCCTCCTCTCCTCCCAAGCCCCTAAAGAAAAAAAATATCATAGAAAGAAATGTATATGTAATGTAAATATCATTGTCACCAAGAAATGATCAAGAGCATGTAAGATTGATGACTGTCATTAAAGCAGGCATGGGAACTGGTTCAAGACGAGGATATTTGGTAAGATCCATGTGTTTGTCCCAAACACAGAAGGTGCAAAAATAATTTTCGCTAATGATTTTGTGCACTTCAACAAAGGATATGTGAAATCAATGGCAGATGTTGTCGGAAAGAAGAGCTTGCTATGTGTACCACATGAAAGCCACAAAAGGATCAGGCATCTGCTATCTGAACCTTTCTCCATATATTCTTTATCAAACTTTCTTAAGAAATTTGACACAATGCTCTGCCAAAGGCTGAAGAAAGTAGAAGAAAACGGGAAAAGCTTTTCGGTCCTTGAGTTCAGCATGAAGGTAAAAACTCCACAGAGCATCCTGACGATGTTGTTCTTATTAGGATGTAACTTATAAAAGGTCAACACCCAACATAGACTTTTTTATTCCAAGATTAGCAACTTTGAATGATTAGAAGAAGTGAAGGCAAAAATGTTTTAGTTACACGCAGTTTACTAACTAACCTCTTCGTTAATATTATCTAACAGGTGATTTTCGATGCCATGTGTGACATGCTGATGAGCGTTACTGAGGATTCCTGGTTACGGCAACTTGAAAAAGATTGTGCAGATGTTTCACATGCCATGTTATCAATTCCTGTAATGATTCCAGGCACTAGATACTACAAAGGCATCAAGGTAAGACAAACAGATATGCACGAACAGGCATTAGAGAGCCAGAAAGCTGAGTACCCTCCACTGAAATTATAGTGCAACGCGTTGCTTTTTTTATTTTCCATGTTAAAGGAAATGGAAGGAAAGAATTTGGTTCTAAATCATAGATAAAACTGTCCATACTAAAGGATTTCCTGAAACAGGCACGTAGAAGACTCATAAAATCCATCAGTGAAATGATTGCTAGAAGACGAAGGGGAATAGAATTCCATCAAGACGTCTTGCAATCCATTCTACAAAGGGACTCATATCCATCCACTGAAAAACTTGATGACTCGGAAATCATTGACAACTTGTTGACATTAATAATTGCAGGACAAATAACCACTGCAGCTGCAATGATGTGGAGTGTCAAGTTCCTGGATGAAAATGAGGAAGCCCAGGACAGGCTCAGGGTGAGTTTTTACAGACTCATTCTGCACTGTGATTGATCACTACTCTAAATTAAGGAGTTTTCAGAAATATGTCTAAGAAGATTATCTAAATCCTGTGTCATCTATGAACTTGTGAAAGCATTTTTGAACTTGTCATCCCACTAAACCGAAAAGGAAAACAGAAAAATAGAAAGAGCACTAGGCCTTAACAATTTCCTCAGCATTTTGGGTCAAGCAGATCTACTTCTATAAGATAAAAATATTTCCCCATAAAGTATATTATAGTTGTGTTTCAATTTCCTAAAGAATAGAACTTGATCCAAAGGAAGGTAACTGAGATTCATCTGACCTACAGGAAGAACAATTGTTGATAGCCAAAAATAAGGCAAATGACGGCTCACTTACCTTGGAAGATCTTAACAGCATGTCTTATGGATTAAAGGTCAGAGAATACTCATCAAAACTATTCCATGCAGAAGAATGATATTAGAAGATATGTTCACGTACAGACTCAAAAAAAAAAAATAAAACATTCATTAAGCATATGCATTTTGTGGAGAAAAAGTCTTAATACCTTTTTGTCATGCATTTCCCAGGTTTTCAAAGAAACACTGAGGATGTCAAATGTTTTATTATGGTTCCCGCGTGTGGCAATTAACAACTGCATACTAGAAGGTAACTTCCTGCAAATCTTCATTGTCCAATTTAAAAGAGAAAATGCAGTTTTCAATGGAGAAAACTCCACCACTCCCCGGGTAAAATACATTATTTTCTGTCTTTAGTTTACTTAAAAAATGTCCTACTACTCGATCGGTACCAAAATTTCACCATTCAAACCTTTACTGGAAATGTTTCCCCAAAGAGCTCCTAGACAGTATAACTTTTCCATTT